GGGATTAGAGCTGCCCCAAACCCCCACAGATTTGCCCCAAACCCCCCATTCCACACCCAGGAGAGGCTTGAAGCTACCCCAGAGTGCCAGGAATTGCCCCCAAGACCCCACAGATTTGCCCCAAACCCCCATTCCACACCTGGGGGGGGTTGGAGCTGCCCCAGGGGGTCAGAATCTGCCCCCAGGACCCCACAGATTTGCCCCAAACCCCCATTCCACACCTGGGGGGGGTTGGAGCTGCCCCAGGGGGTCAGAATCTGCCCCCAGGACCCCACAGATTTGCCCCAAACCCCCATTCCACACCTGGGGGGGGTTGGAGCTGCCCCAGGGGGTCAGAATCTGCCCCCAGGACCCCACAGATTTGCCCCAAACCCCCATTCCACACCTGGGGGGGGTTGGAGCTGCCCCAGGGGGTCAGAATCTGCCCCCAGGACCCCACAGATTTGCCCCAAAGCCCCAGAATCTGCCCCAAGTCACCTCTGGGGGAGGCTCAAGGCTGCCCCAAGGACCTTCATAGCTGCCCCAAGACCCCACAGATTTGCCCCAAACCCTCTATTCCACACCCGGGGGGGCTTAGAGCTGCCCCAAGAACCCACAGATTTGCCCCAAACGCCCCATTCCACACCCAGGGGGGCTTAGAGCTGCCCCAGGGGGTCAGAATCTGCCCCCAAGACCCCACAGATTTGCCCCAAACCCTCAGGAACGGCCCCAAATAACCCCCCCCGTGTCCCACCTTGCTCCAGTTTGGAGGCGGCCGCCCGCAGCGTGGAGCTGGTGCTGCCGGGCTCCGTGGGCGTCCCGGGGCGGCTGTTACCCCTCGAGCTGCTGGCAGAGCCCCTACGTTCCCTTTTTGGGGGGGTTTTCTTCTTCTGGGGGGGGAAAAAAAGGTCTCCTCTAATTCCACATCCGGGGGGGATCAGAGCTGCCCCTGGGTGTTGAGATCTGCCCCAAGACCCCACAGATTTGCCCCAAACCCCACATTCCACACCCGGGGGGGACTAGAGCTGCCCCAAACCCCCCCAGATTTGCCCCAAACCCCCCATTCCACACCCAGGAGGGACATAGAGCTGCCCCAGGGTGTTGGAATCTGCCCCAAACCTCCACAGATTTACCCCAAACCCCCCCAGATTTGCCCCAAACCCCCATTCCACACCTGGGGGGGGTTGGAGCTGCCCCAGGGGGTCAGAATCTGCCCCCAGGACCCCACAGATTTGCCCCAAAGCCCCAGAATCTGCCCCAAGTCACCTCTGGGGGAGGCTCAAGGCTGCCCCAAGGACCTTCATAGCTGCCCCAAGACCCCACAGATTTGCCCCAAACCCTCTATTCCACACCCGGGGGGGCTTAGAGCTGCCCCAAGAACCCACAGATTTGCCCCAAACGCCCCATTCCACACCCAGGGGGGCTTAGAGCTGCCCCAGGGGGTCAGAATCTGCCCCCAAGACCCCACAGATTTGCCCCAAACCCTCAGGAACGGCCCCAAATAACCCCCCCCGTGTCCCACCTTGCTCCAGTTTGGAGGCGGCCGCCCGCAGCGTGGAGCTGGTGCTGCCGGGCTCCGTGGGCGTCCCGGGGCGGCTGTTACCCCTCGAGCTGCTGGCAGAGCCCCTACGTTCCCTTTTTGGGGGGGTTTTCTTCTTCTGGGGGGGGAAAAAAAGGTCAGGGGGGGGGTTCCAGGGACCCCCAGCCCCCCCAAATTTCCAAATTTCCCTCCTTGGGGTGGTGGGACCCACTCACAGCCATGAAGAGGGCGGAGGAGGTCTCGCTGTCGATGTCGCTCTCCTCCGAGGTCTGCGACTCGTCGCTGCTGTCTGGAGGGTTGGGGGAGTCCTGTTTCTGGCTGGTTTCACCCCAAAAATGCCATGGAGGGTGGGGGAGAAGTCGTGGGGGAGGACTCACCCTTCTTTTTCTTCTTCTCCTGCGGCGTCGGGGCCTTCTTCTCCTCCTCCTCCTCCTCCTTCTCCTCCGTTGCTTTCTCCTCCTCGCTCTCCTCGCTGCTCTCGCTCGCCTCGTCGATGCCTGAGGGGGGGGGACACATGATGGGGGCATTTCTGGGGGAGGGGGACACA